CAGGATTGTAACTTATTTACTCATAGGATTAGCGATAATAATCAGTCTTGTCCTTTCGAGATGTCTCCTTAAGCAGGCGTGACAACAACGGAAAACTAATAAAATGACAGCACAGGTTCTATTGGCAATTATAAATAAAGATCATGCTCCACCAAAGGCAGTTCTACAAGGATGGGTAGCGGAGGTTTCAAAAGCCTAAAAAGCAGTCCGATATCCTGACAGACCCACCATGGTGATGCTCCTTCGAGGGCTGCTAGTCAATGACGGGTAAGGACCTACTGAGTGGGCTAACCTAAGACAGGCATAGTCCAAAATGCTGGAGCACCCAAGGAGGTGGGGCCAACAAGGTCGGGACAAGGCATCCCGGCTCCCACTGGGCTGTCTAAAATAAAATAAAAAGGATGGATATGTGGGGAAACGGGCCAGTAAATACTTCCGTTATTCAGGATAACCTAAAACCTGCCATAAAGCACAATATCGAATGACGCAAACGGAGGACAGTGTGCCGCACCAATGAAGAGGAGACACATAGCCAAATGAACCAATGAGGATCGGGCAAGGGATATAAAAGAAAGCCCTAATAGCACAATAAATGAGCTGCTTGCTAACTGCTGAGTGAGTCTCCCGAAATCTGCACCGTTGATTTCACATCTACTCTCCCCCTGCCCTCAATGGAGAGTCCTCAAGCAGCTAGCCCACTAAGGCAGGCAACAACAACAACGAGAGAGAGAAAGAAATATCTATGTTAAGGTCAAAAAGGTCACCAATGTCCATGTACAATTCCAAGACATCAGCAGTGTCCAGAAATGCAACTGCTATCCAGTTAACCAACAACATCTCTGCAATATAAGGATAAAACTCAGCTCCGGTTAGTGCCTTATATGAAGCAGTGTCTATAATCCCTCACAGTGCCTCCTGAGGTCACAGCAAGAAATGGTCATACCCATCCCAACTGAGTGCAGCTCAAAGAGATTTCTCTCACTTTCTGTCCCCAAGATTGTACTGGTTACTTTTCTAATGGCTATGACCAAATACCTGCCAAGAAGCAACTTAAGGAAGGAAAGGTATATTCTGGTTCAAGCTTTTGAGGGACTGGGAACGTATGGTGTCTGAAGGAGCTGGTGGCTTGGGAAGGTACTTTGTGAGGCAGCCAGTTACCTGGTATTGGTAGTTCTCCATTCCAATCAGTGATCCAGTTTCTCCAGCTAATCCTTATCTCCCAAGGCTCCCATAACTTCCCACAACAAAATTGCCTTCAGGGGACAAAACATTCAAACACCTGAGACAGTGCAGGACATTCTATATCCAATCCATTACAGGCACCTTTTCTACTTTAATGATAATAAAAGCAATAGTGGCCATGATGAGGTTAACCAAGGAATCATAAAGTTTCCTGAGTCTAAGCAGGAAATTAAAGGAGTAATAATTGGAAAAGAAGAGGTCAAATCATCCTTTTTGCAGATGATATGATATTATATCTACGAGACACCAAAAATTCTACCTGAAAACTCCTAGAAATTATTAACATGTTCAGTAAAGTGGCAGGTTACAATTTAACCTACAAAAGTCTGTAGCCTTTTTATATAGCAATAACAAGCCATTAGAAAAAGAACACATGGAAACACTCCCTTTCACAATAGCTGCAAAAATAAAAAATAAAATATCTCGGGATAAACCTGACCAAAGACATTAAAGACCTCTACAATGAAAATTTTAAATCTTTAAAGAAAGAGATTGAGGA